TGGAAAAAAATTTGGTTATAGAAACCTCAATTTAAAAGTGTAAGATATACAAGCAAAAATAAAATTAACACAAAATCTATAAAGATACCTATTTTATCAATATAGAGTTATACATATTATAAAGAAAATGTATATCTTTGACCTATGATCTATGAAGCCATTGGTACCTTCCAGTGTTAGAAATAAAAAAAATGTACATACTGATAATTTATATAAGAAAATTAATATATTATATTTCCTATTAATTTGATAGTGTATAAGGTTTGGCAAAAAAATGGTTTGCCGAATATAAATTTTATAAAAAATAAACCGATGACATTAATGAAATGAAATTATTTACAGTTTTTATGAGGTTACTAACATAAAAATTACTTATTTCTAATTTAATTATATAGTGTTTTTTTTTCTTATGTGCCTTTTTTATTAAGAATATGATTTAAATTCCGAATATATATTTTTGGATATGCATAATATGGATTAGGACATGAGAATTATGATATAAATTGACTTTTACTAGTTTTAAAATTCGTGTTTAAATCCCTTTCCTATTAAAAGTCAAGTACAATTAGAAAAATAGGTTAGTTGTTTTAATTTTATTGGTTCAAAATTATGACATGTCTTTGGAAAAATTATGACATAGTTTAAACTAATTGATTAGATAACTTACTTAATTATATAATACTTTTTATATATAATTGAAAAAAACTTTCTCAATACGTTTTAAATAATACGTTTTGTACCTTTAACTTAATTTAAACGATTTCATTTAGAGATACTCTTTTCTCAATCTTAAAATACTTTTTAAGCAATCCAACATATTCTGAAAATATTATGAAAATTCTATTTAAATAAATTTTTAATGATTCTAATCAATCTATCTATATTGTAATTGTAATGGTCATTTAAGATCACATACGTATCCTATTATAATAAATCACAAGTCACTTTCAAAAAAACTGTAACATTCTCCATTTGCCATGTTCATAAGTCTCAAATTCCACTATTTCAATTTCTTTCTCTTCCGTAAACTATTTT